CTTGTCAAAGCCAGACAACATCTGTTCATCTGTTCTCACTCTGAGCCATCTGCCTACGCAGTTTTGATAAATTTTGATAAATTTTGACCATTTCTGCAGACCAAAGAAAGTGGAGTGGGCTTTACCGCGCCCGCAGCATCAGAAGCTCTCGGAACCTGAAGACAGGTACGGGAAAGAACTCCGTGTGAACCCAACCCCTAGTAAAGTGCCTAGCGGTCTGCCCCTTCTGTTGTTGGTTCGACTGGCAGCGTCGGTCATTTTTGGCTCAAGGTGAGCTGTGACCCTAGTTTCACTGCGGCCTTGCAAAGCAAGGCTGTAGCGGTGACTGAGCTGGTGTGAGGGCTAGCGGGACCCACTTTGGTTCCCAGTTGGAGGCTGTTCTCTGAAAGTACCGTAGCGGTCGAGGCTACCAGCTCACCGCCAGCATGGCTCGGGAAGTACGAATGTTTGACCGAACATTGCTGGAAGCAATCGAAGAAGGTATAGTCCCAAGGCCAGGGCTATTGACCTATAATCAAGATTGGAACTCATGGCGCGCCAGGGAAGGGCAGCGGCCGAGCAAGAGGAGACACGGAAACGACATCAGAACCACGACGACTGGAGAAGAGGCGCAGTTGTGGAGAACCGTGATGGAGGCTCTGCACGGCCCTGAATGGAAGGACCAGTTGGCAATGGCTGGGGGTGCCTTCATCTTCCACGGTTGGTGGTGGGTCGGTGTTCCGTGATATGTCCCTTGTTCGGTTGCAGGAGGTTTTTCTGAAAGATTACGCTCCTGGGTCCGAAACAGCAGTCCGGAAAAGGTTGCGACGGGTGTCGGAGGCCTTAGGGTTGTTTGGGGAAGAAGTGGACGAAGCCTCAATGGAGCGGCGGGTCATCCGCGCCCTCTACTGGGAAAAGATCTACGAGGCAGAAGAGGAACGCCAATTAGCCCTGCTGAAGGAGTTCTTCCAAGAGCTTGTTTTGGATGAACCGCCACAGTGTGGCCGCCACAGGAAAGAGGAGGCCAGCTGAGTAAGTCTACGCAAAAGCTTTTCTCCTCAACCGAAGGCACTCCGGAGAAGGGAGTAGATGCTTCTAAAAGGGCTGGTCCGGCCACTCCGCGGCGGAAAGGCCTGCGGGAGGAAACTCCTGCGGATGATTGTCGCGGAGAGGACAGGTCAAGGGAGCCGAGAAGGGAAACTCGGCCTGGCCAAAATACTTCAGAAATAGATCAGCTCAAGAAACGCCTCCTGGAGCTCGAGGGCGACGTGCGCTCAGAAGGAAGCCGTGCCTTCGATGCGTCTGCTTTTGCTGAAGCACTGGAAAAACAGACGAAGGTCATGACAGAAGCTTTGACCCGTAAGAGCAAGAGATCCACGATCCAGGTAACGCCTAAGATTTCTTGGCCTATGCTGGACGATGAGTGCAGCGACTATCGCTCAGTCCAAGAATTCTATGACACCTTTGAGGCCACCATCGGGGTGGCCAACGATGGAGATGGAATGACGGATATCGAAAAGCTGACTACATTGAAGGCCTGCTTGAAGCAGCATCGACTGAAGACGTATGAGCTGGTATACCGCCGCCATCTGGCCACGGGATTGGTGCAAAAAGATCCGGGCCAAGTCTATGATCAAATCAAAAGTAAGCATCTCCTGCTTTCGGAAACCGCTGAGGAGATCAGAGTCCTGGAAGAAGGAGACGCTCTTGAAAAGGGAAAGCTGTCGGCATTCCAATGGGAAGTGTGCTGGGGGTCTCACCTGGCCGACCGTGATGGGATCGGGCTAGGCCTCAACAAGACGGATCCAGTATTTGCGAAAAATTGGGCCCAACCTCTCCAAGGATGTCCGGCGAGACAAAAGGTTCCGGCTGGATGGGAAAGGAGGAAATGCCTTCCGGGGCGTAGAGACTTGGGAAGAGGCCCACGAAGTGGTGAAGGAGATTGAAGAGACCAACGCAGGCCAAAGAGCATTGAACAACAGCACTTTCACCCATGGACCGGAAAACAAGGATCGGCTGACAAGGCAGTGGTAGATGAAGCCAGAAAGAAAGCCTTGCGGGGCAAGAAGTCCGCGGGAAACAGCCAGGAGAGAACTTCCAAGCACAGCAGCTACCGAGATGATCATAAGAAGGAAGGAAAAGGAGCTGGAAAGAAAGGAGGAAAGGACAAGGGTAAGAAAGAGACCCATGGGAAACGGACAAGAAACCGTGCAGGTTCTACAACACCGCTGGGGGTTGCACCCGCGGTTCGAAGTGCCCTTTTTCGCACGAAGGACCGGGCGGCTCACAGCGTGGCGCGGGTCCAGGACTCCAACTCCCCAATGTCTCCGATTTATCAAGCGTTGGAGGGAAAGCTGCTTTGACACGGCTGTGTTGGAGGATGGCCAGCCCAAAGTCCAAGACCCAGTCTGGACAACGAAGGCGTTGAAGCAGCCAGGATGGAAAGAGAAGAAAGGAAGCAGGAACAACCGCGCTGGGAACAACCACCGCGGGAAGCCGTTGCATGACTTGGAGTCTTGGAGCGAGCTGACTAGCCTTGACCAGCTGCCCAAGAAATGGTGGAAACTCACAGTGAACAGTAAGGGAGGATACCAGTATCAGACAGAAGTCAAGATCCTGGGCAGGTATGTGGGTTGCCTCTTGGACGGGTGTGCCGGCTGCAATTCGGTGACAGAAGAACTGGTCGTCGGGGCAATCAAAGCTGCTCTCAAGGATAATATCCCTGCAGACTCCTCTAAATTCCCGGTAGCGCAGCTGGAATGTTTTGGCCAAAAGAAGAAGTCGTGATGGGTCTGGCAAATGGCGCCCCTATCAACCTGAAGGGCGCGGCCGTGATCAGGGTGACTTTTCCTGACGTGACGGGTAAGAAAGACCGGGAAATCCTTGTCAGGGCAAAGATCATCGCCGAGGGCTGCTCCACGTGGCAGGGTCTGATCTTGGGAGGCCGTGCGCCGGATGCCGTGGAACGTGGTGGTCTCGGGTTTCGTCCCGGAGCCAACGCCCACATTTTGATGCCCTGGGTGTTCGGTTGCCGCGTAAGGAAGAAACAGAAGAATACGCGGAGCACGCGTACCCGCACGTCGCTGTCCAGAAATCTCTGTTTGAGCATGCGTGGGATAAAGAATCAGAAGTAAGGGGAAGTTTTGATGTGCTCTGGCAAGGGGCATTGGGTTGGTGAAGAAGGAGATTGGGTGCCGGTTCGGCGCTCCGTGTCTCATGACGCCGTTTCGGCTGATCCAAGGGGGTCGGGCGAAACCCAAGAGCCGCTGTTAAGTCCAGTGGGCACAGTTCTCCCCTTGGTTGATGCGGCAGTTGAAGTGGTGCCTGGTTTGTGGGACCAAAGGTCCGCAGAAGGCTACATGTACGTGGTTCCAAAGGAATCAGAAGCCTATTTGGAAGAAGGATCCCCAATAGCGGCCGTCGTAGATGCTGTTGCGGAGCAATCTTTTGGCAGAGCTTGCGGGCATTTTGATGCCGCAGCATGGGTCAAGAAGGGATCAGAGGAGTGCAAGTGCCCAAAGGGCCAGGCTGCGGCTGGCCGGTGCGAACGCTGCCACAGTGCCACGGTGAAGAGTTGGCAAGGAGCGTGCCGGAAATGTTCAAAGAACACCAGTGGCGGCGCAGGACGGGGCGGAGTCGCCCTCCTTGTGGCTGGGATGCTGTGCTACATGGTCCTATAGGCATGGTGGAGCGAAGTGTGGTGGCAGAGAGGATCTATCACATTGTCGAGACAGCGGGGGCGTTGGACCTTCTTGCTGAGGAAGGACCAACGGATGAGTACTATAACCGGCTCAGCCAGTACATGGGAAAGAAGTTCCCTGGAGCATCAGGCCACTTGCTAGATCATTTGGAAGCATTGGAATGCTTCCTTGATCGTAGCATAGCGGCAGGGATGACTTTCGGGATAGACAAGGCGTGTGTTGCCGTGGTCGAAGGGAACTTGCTCGGGCACAACATTGGCCGAAACGGAGCAAAACGTAGTGCTGAGAAGACCCGCGCTATCCTGAAGTTTCCTGCTTTAAAGGAAAGGCTTCATATTCAACAGTTCTTGGGTTGCACAAATTTTCTGAGAAGCTATCTTCCTCCAGAATATGCTCATTGTGCCAAGCTCCTAGGGGAGTATGTCAAAGGGGCAAAGCCTTTCCCTGATGATGGACTTGGGCCAGGCACAGAAACAACAACTGATCCAGCCGGCCTGGGCAAACTTCTGACTGCGCTTCTCAGACATGGCCGTGGGGTCGTGGAAGAGGAGCTGAAGAAGTATGTCAGTGTCGGCGGCTGGGTTCAGATCGAAAAAGTCAAGGAGTGGCTCGCTCGGCTTGGAGCCGACAGGAGGGGAATTGCTGCGCATGCTCGAAGCAGCGTGCGTGCACCCTGATCAGGATCGAGATGGGAGAAGTGCAAGGGAAGGATCGAGATGGGAGAAGTGCAGTCCGATCCTGAGAAAAGGTATATATAAGGGCTCGACGCAGCTGGTCGATCCCCTGGATCACGGAAGGGCTCGATGAAGCAGATGTGCGGAACAAGCCCGCGGAGCTGTTCCACGGCACTCGCCGTACGAACTGGGAGAGCATCAAGCGATACGGCTTCATGAGTGAAAGAGCCCTGATGGGGCGGAAGGGCAGATTGCATCTGCATTTCTGCCGAGCCCGGGAACACGTCAAGCAAGGGAGCGAAGTGGTGATCAAGGTTCACACTTCAGCTCTGTACCGACGTGCGGCTGAGGAGAACGAAAAAGTTTATGGGAATGAAAAAGCCATTTACCTGCTTTTCAACATTCCTGTAGACTGTTTTGTAGAGGTCACTGACTTGCGGACCGGGGAGGACCTTCTCAAGGGTCAAGGGGTAGGATCTTCCCAGCTCGCAGCCACTAGCATATAGCTACGTCCTCCCAGCCTGCGGCCTCCGGCGCGGCTGCATCTGTGCAGCCTGCGGCCCTTGGCGCGGCTTCTCCCTCCCAGCCTGCGGCTACAAGCGCGGCTTCCAAAGCTCGGCTTGCTGCTGGGGAGGCAGCGTTGCCAGAAGAGTCTCGTCCTAGGCCAAAGGTTAAGGCGAGCCCCGTTGCAGAAGCAGCTCCTGGGGTGAAGGGCTCGGCAGCGACGTCCTCGGTTCCACCTACTCCTGAACAAAAAACGTGAAGGACCGAGAAGCTCCCGCAGCCGAAAAAGCCAAGGAAGTGAAGATTGAAGTCGAGGAAAGTCAGGCGGTGAAGCGAAGTGAGCAATAGGAGTCCAAAACGACCGAGTTGGAAAACTTGAGCCTAAAAAGAAAAGCCAAGGTGAAGGCAGAGGTCAGCGCCGAAGAGGCGCTGGGAGAAAGGGAAGCGAGATGGACTAAAGCAAGGGAAGTGCCAGCGGATGACGAATCAGAAAGTTACTCCTACGAGGAGGATGAGGATCCAGGAGTGTTCTGCCGATTGGGAAGGCGACGACGCCGATCGTCGTTCGAGGACTCCTGAAGGGCGCCGACCTGGAGTGATCCTCAAGTCCAAGGGCTACCTTGAATGAGGCTCGACTTGCTGATCCCGCGGGTGTAGGTAACACCGCGGACGCTCAACCAGGTCCGACGGGTGCGCCCGGCACCGCGGACAATCAAGACGCTCCTGCGCCTGGGAGTGCATCTGGCACTGCGGACGCATCTGGCCCAGCGGACACTCAAGCAGATCCGGCGAGTTCGGCAGGACGCTCGGATACTGCAAGTAGGCGCAAAGCCATCGAAGAAGATATAAAGGAGCACGGAGCGGTCGTTTGCCCTCGTTGCGACGCCCGGAATGCTACTTGGAGACTGAAATGTTATATCGGTGCGGCCTAGAGCGCCCGAATCCGAAAGACATAGTCCGAGAGCATGGAGATCGCCGCAGCACCCGTGGAAAGAAGCGGGGAGGCAAAAAGAACCGTGGGGGTGGCCAGACAGAGAGCCAAGCAGAAAGCGAGACTTGGACTCAGGCTCAAGGCTGGTGGCAGTCACAGGACTGGTCAGGGTCCCATGGTTCCCGAGGTTCTGATTGGCAAGGGAGCTCTTGGAGCTCTCGATCCAACTGGACATGCGGCAAGTACGATCCGAAGGGGAGTGATCAGAATCAGTGATGGTGATGCGGGCTGCGGCCGCCACCATAGCTCTTGCCGGGCTGAGAGGAGTCCTACGCCTCACGGAGCAAGCCGTGGAATCTGTCCTGGCTTATACTGCAGAGGTAGTAGAACAGGCAGAGATGACCCTCACAGACCCGCCGCAAAGGAGCGTGGTAATCGGGTTCATCTCAGGTGGTGGAGGTGGAAGCAGTCCAGGGGTCATATGACTTTGGACGAGCTCGAGTTCAAGACCCCGAGCACCTCCCCTGAGAAAACAGGTGCTCACCCCTGAAACGGCCGAGCACGGCAGTCCTCCGGGCAAAAGCCCTGAGGGGTGTGGCCTATGAAGGGGGACAGCGGGCGATAACGCCGCTCCCGAAGAAAAGGCCGGGAACCAGAGTGCGGACCAGTAGGTCACCTCAAAGGGTTCAGAAAGGAAAGGCATCCAATAAGGTGCCTCGCAATGTTGCGGAAACCCCCTTTCTGAATGGTGGAGTAAAGGGCTTAGGAATGTTCGCAACAGCACGTGAATATCAGGAAGCAGCCATTTCGGCGCTCCGCAGCTGCTCTGAAACAAGACCCGTAGCAGTGAATCTGATCGCTTATGCGATCGACAGAGCTGATCTGCTGGGTGCTCCTCTTGCAGTCGCAGAAGTGCATCAGGTACCTGTCAAGGTCGTAGCTGACCAAGCGCAGACCAACAGGATGCCAGAGCAGAAGAGCGTCCTAGAACAGGCAGCTGAAGGGGTCTTGATGTTCAGCTGCGAACAGGCAACGAGCTCCGAAGCCACTACCTTGAGGCTGGAAGGCAAGGAAATGGGTTCAAAGGAATCCAGCACGCGAAGGTTCTGGCCATAGAATGGCAAGACGGCTGGGAAGTCTTCGCCGGGAGCAGTAACTGGACAACTGCTTCTAGGGGTAATCACGAACTGGGCTGGCGAGTGGAGCTCCACAAGGCTGGCGAGTTATCGGACCAACTCAGGAACTGGTTGAGTTCAGTCTGTGAGGGATCGGTTCCGATGACTCAAGTTTCGTGCTGAGAAAAGCCAGAAAGCTGGAGGAAAATCCACGGACCAAACGGCTAGACTCTCGCGGTCAGAGACGCAGAGCTGAATGCTCTTGCGGTCAACGACGCAGAGTCAAAGTCCTGCGGTACTAAGGTACGCGGACCGAATAATTCGTCATTTTTGGCTCAAGGTGAGCTGTGACCCTAGTTTCACTGCGGCCTTGCAAAGCAAGGCTGTGGCGGTGACTGAGCTGTGGCCGACCGCGCGACAAAGGGGATTCTGAGCTGGTGTGAGGGCTAGCGGGACCCACTTTTGGTTCGCATCCGCTACCTTTCATAGCTGCAGCTGTGGCACAGGGCTGTCATTTGGTCTACCAATCTCGAGCGCACGGCATTGTTCACCACATCAAAGCCAGTAGTGTTGAGAATTATCCTCTTGATCAAATCCTGCGATACTAGACGTGGCATCCAGAATCTGGATGTGCATTTTGCCACAAGCAAATCACATATTGCAAAGCTAAAATCATAATGACTTGACTTGCAGAAAGGCAATGTAAATATATATATATATGGTCCCGTGTTCCGTGTTCCTACCCCCCCCATGGTATGGTCCTCCAGTTCCCAGCCCGGGCAGGGACCCTGGACACTCTATACTCTGTATGTGCCCATATTCCCCCTAAACCCTCTACAGGCCCCGACATAGCCTCCGTCTACCCTTGGCAAACTCTCTATACTCTCTCTATGTACTGTACGTACCGTACAAATACCCTATCTACACCCTATGTATACTGTGTACTCGCTACATCCTCCTGAAAAGCTCTCCATATACACCTGCATATACTGCACGTACTCTATCTATGCTCTATATTTACTCTATCCATACTCTCTATATAATGCCCTATATGATGTATATTCTACAGAGTATATACTCTATATATATATACACTCAAAACACACCCTCTATATATATATATATACTCAAAACACACCCTCTCTCTATATATATATACTCTAGATGCTCTCAACTACCCCCCCCATGTTTTTCGTTTGGACCAATACCTACAGAGGTACATGCATGAGTATTGAGCACATCTATATGCGCCCTCAAGGCTCAAGAGGTATATAGAGTAACCCTGTGGACACCGCACTGACTGGCAATACGCCGAGAGTAAAAGTGTGAGCTGTCTTGGGAAGACGCCTTAGCTGATCTTGAAGTAGACGCTAGGGCCCCTCTTCAAGTGGTAGCGGAGCTGTGATCGTTCATTGAAGGTGAGCTCCAGGTAGAGCCCAGCAATGGCACGCATGGCTATGATGATGATGACTTCGACATTGTCGATGCAAATGGATGGAACCAATATGACTCTTACGCAATGAGAAGAGCTCCCCAGCAGACACAGATTCATATGACGCAACAAATGACCACGAAGGTAGCTCCAGCATATGATGGGAGAACCAGTTTCTTTGCCTTTGAAGATGCAATCGATGACCGGTGTGACATCACGGAGATAGAACCTGAGAAACGTGGACCAGCCTTGCGCAATCGACTGGAAGGAGATGCTCAACAATACAAGAGGTTATTGGACAGAGATATGCTCAGAGACCCCAATGAAGGAGTGAACTATTTCAAAAGATTTCTACGACCTCATTTCATCAAGGGTGCCCAGAACGTGTTCTTATACCGTTTCATGCAGTTCATGAAGTTCAACAGAGGAACCATGGATCTTCAGAAGTGGATGACTAGATTTCAACTCACTGGAAATAGACTTATTGAGTCTTGGATGGATTTACTTCCAGAACCGTCGGTGACAAATCCTGAAGCAATCCAATTTCTTCAACAGAAGAGACAAGAACATGAACGAGATCAACAAGAGAAGGCTGAGTTGGCAGCAGCAACACCAGGTGCAGCTCCTCATGTAGTCATTCCCTGGTCAGATGAACTGGCATTGGTGGCATTCAGACAGTACAAGGAACATTGTAGACAATTACAAAGACAGGCATTCCCATTGGGTGAAAATCTGCTAGCATTGATTTTTGTAAGTCCAGCCGACCTGAGTCAAGATCAGAGAAACACACTCACAAGTATCATGACACATCGTGGACGAACCCTCGATCAGTACAACATTCAAGAACTACGTGATCTGTTTTTGGAAATGTTTTGCACTACCAAAACAGCAGTTGACAATCCAATGATGCAACCCTCTGGCATGGCACAGAGAAGATCTTTCCTCGTTCTGGAAGAAGGTGAACTAGAAGGAACCGACGGCTATTGGGCCGAAGATGATGAAGACGGCGCAGAAGGATTCCTGGATGCTTTAGAAGATGTTTTCTGGGTTTATGATGACGCTGACTACACATGGTATCAGAGAAGGTTCCAAGGCAGACAGACCAGACGAGGCAAAGGTAAAGGAAAGAGAAAAGGAAAAGGAAAAGGCAGAGGAGGACGAAGGTTCTTCAGATCAAGAAAAGGAAAAGGCCGAGGAAAAGGAAGAAGGAAAGGCCGCTCTCACATGGTGAGTGAAGAAGGTTATGAAGAAGATTGGCAAGAAGAAGAATGGAATGAAAACTATGACGGCTATTGGGCCGATGATCAAACCTGGAATGAAGGCTATTGGGCCTATGATGATCTGTACTACATGGATGAGTATGGATACTTCCAGAAGAAAGGAAAAGGAAAAGGAAAAGGAAAAGGAAAGAAAGGCAAGAAAGGCAAGGATGATGATGGCAAAGGAGGAAAGCCAGGAGATGGAAAAGGCAAGTCAAACTATGTTCAACCTCAGACCACATCAACTCCTGCCATGCAGAACCAACAACAGCAACAAGCTCACTACTCTTCTACTGCATCAAGCTCTGGTCATGGTTTCTTTGCTTTTGCAGAGACTGAACCAGTACGTGTCGATGCCTTGGCATCCACGTATGCAGAACAAGGAGTACATCGACGCACTCGTCGTGGAGGACAGAACCAACGTGATGCAACAGCACAGCATGACAGAGAAGGACTCAAGAAGTTCCCTGTTCTGGTTGGAGATCTTGATGCACTTCGACAAGGTGTACAACGACGTCCAGCTCGTGTGCCCAGGCAAGTTGGTCTACAAGAAGGTGAGGCTTCATGGAAGCCGTTGGCAAAAGGCACATCATTTCTTTCATATGGATGCTCTGCAGAAACAGAGGTACCAAATCAGAGTGCTTTTTCCCGAGAGCGCCTGCGAAGGGTTCTTCGTAAAAAAGCAGCCGTTTGATACATCTTCACACTCTCACATCTGCTGATCTATATCTTCACACCTTCACATCTGCTGATCTACATCTTCACACCTTCACATCTGCTGATCTACATCTTCACACCCTCACACCTGCTGATCTACATCTTCACACCCTCACATCTGCTGATCTACATCTTCACACCTTCACATCTGCTGATCTACATCTTCACACCTTTACATCTCCTGATCTACATCTTCACACCCTCACACCTGCTGATCTACATCTTCACACCCTCACACCTGCTGATCTACATCTTCACACCTTCACATCTGCTGATCTACATCTTCACACCTTCACACCTGCTGATCTACATCTTCAGACTCTCACATCTGCTGATCTACATCTTCACACCTTCACACTTGCTGATCTACATCTTGCTGATCTACATCTTCACACCCTCACACCTGCTGATCGACATCTGCTGATCTACATCTTCACACCCTCACACCTGCTGATCTACATCTTCACACCTTCACATCTGTTGATCTACATCTTCACACCCTCACATCTGCAGATCTACATCTTCACACCTTCACACCTGCAGATCTACACACCTGCACAAATTCTCTCGCTCTTCTTTCTATCTCTCTCTTAAGGCGGGGGCGGTGTTGGCGGAGCGCCACGAAACGCAACCCTTTCGCACGAAATGGACGTTGGATGTCGAAAACTGGGGTAAAATTGCGATTTTTTAGTTAGTCCATCGCAATCCTTTCGCACGAAATGGACGTTGGACGTCAAAAACTGGTGTAAAATTGCGATTTTAGTTAGTCCATCGCAACCCTTTCGCACGAAATGGACGTTGGACGTCAAAAACTGGTGTAAAATTGCGATTTTAGTTAGTCCATCGCAACCCTTTCGCACGAAATGGACGTTGGACGTCAAAAACTGAAGTAAAATTGCGATTTCACGGGTCCGGTCTTTGTGTGTGAAAGTGTTTGTGTGTAAAAGCTTCTGTGTGTAAAAGCCTCTGTGCGTGAAAAGTGTTTGAGTGTAAAAGCGTCTGTGTATGAAAGTTTCTGTGTAAAAGTGTCTGTGTGTAAAAGCGTCTGTGTGTAAAAGCGTCTGTGTGTAAAAGTGTCTGTGTGTAAAAGCGTCTGTGTGTAAAAGCGTCTGTGTGTAAAAGCTTCTGTGTGTAAAAGCGTCTGTGTGTAACAGCCTCTGTGTGTAAAAGCGTCTGTGTGTAAAAGCGTTTGTGTGTGAAAGTGTGTGTGTGTGCGTGTGTAAAAGCATCTGCGTGTAAAAGCGTCTGTGTGTAAAAGCGTCTGTGTGTAAAAGCGTCTGTGTGTAAAAGCGTCTGTGTGTAAAAGCGTTTGTGTGTGAAAGTGTGTGAAAGCGTCTGCGTGTAAAAGCGTCTGTGTGTAAAAGCGTCTGTATAAAAGCGTCTGTCTGTAAAAGTGTCTGCGTGTAACAGTGTCTGTGTGTAAAGGCGCCTGTGTGTAAAAGCTTATGTGTGTAAAAGTGTCTAGTGTCTGTGTGTAAAGGCGTCCGTGTGTAAAAGCCTATGTGTGTAAAAGTGTCTAGTGTCTGTGCGTAAATGCGTCTGCCTGTAAAAGCTTCTGTGTGTAAAAGCGTCTGTGTGTAAACGCTTCTGTGTGTGTAAATGCGTCTGTGTGCAACAGCTTCTGTGCAAAAATGCATCTTTAATGTATTAATGTATTGTCTTGTAATATAGTGTCTCAATACTAACAACAGAAGACCCTGCTCTCTCTCTCTCTCTCGCTCTCTCTCACCCTCTCCCTCTTTCTCTCTCTCTCTCTCTCTCTCTCTCCGTCTCCCTCTCTCTCTCTCTCTATCTATGTCTCTCTGTGGTTACCTGTCACGTGTCATATGATGCCCTTTGCCAAGCAGCACAGTGCATGTGCATGGGTTGTCACATGCATCCTCTTCTTAATCAATCTTACTTTTCACAACTTATCCCTCCATAGCTCATATACAATTCACCAACCATTGACAGAGTATTTTTTTTACGACTACCATTATCAGAGCTGTTTGAAAAAAACGTTTTTTCGCTCTCGGGCCAACCGTCGTCTAGTTCATTTCATACTGTACAGACTGATCTGGCATGTGAGAAAGGACTAGCTTTTCACACAGAGAATTCTGCACCACCAACTGTATGTATCCTGGATCTTGGATGCACAAGAGCTATGGGCTCTCGACGAGCAGTTGAAGCATTTTGCAGATATGTTGAC